TTTTTTTTATTGGTCTTATGGAGTATTCTAATTTGTTGAGATAGTGAGTTGGTGGGTTTTTGTTAAATGTGAGCCAAAATCATCACAATTAAAAGAACCAAAGACTTAAACTACTTCAGTCTGTGTGCATTGAATTTATTTCATACACGAGTTTCACAATTTGAGTTGAATTACTGAAATAAATGAACTTTTCCACGACATTCTAATTTATTGAGATGCACCTGTATATAGTTCTTTATCACACAGTCCTCTGCAAGTCAGTTGTTGAATCAGGGTTTCTGCGGGTCTCAATTCACCCTTCCACAAATTAAGGCCTTAAAAAGTCTTAAATTGGAGCAGAAAGTCTTAAATTCGTAGATTAATGGCATTAAATGTTGCTTGCGCTGCAAAAAAATTAATATATTTGTCAGTATTTTTGTTTTGTTTTTCATTACAAATATTCAAACATCCTCAAATCAAGATACATTTACTTGAGATGCAAAGTAAAGATACTAAGTCTTGTTTTCTGAACAAAATTAAGTGAATTTATGCTTAAAGCAAGATCAAATATCTATCTGTGGGGTAAAAAAACTTGTTTTCCTTTGAATTAAGTTGATTTTTCTAAGCCCACTGACAAATATTTACCCTTTTTTAATCATAAATTCACTTCATTTCCAGCTTGTGTGTGTGTGTGTGTGTGTAAAATGAATTAAAAAGTAATGTATATTGGTTGTTGTATTTTCAAGCTTTGAAGTCTTGCTAAAAATTATTGTGTGCTGCTTAGACATCTACATTTAGAGACCATATTGACGTATTGTGTTCCCGTTAATTTATTGCTTACATTTTCTTTAATTGGTCTTTAAAAGGGCTTTAAAAAGTCTTACATTTACGTTCATAAAACTTGCATGAACTCTGTTGTATTTAACATAATTTCTGATTTGATTATGTCATTCCTAATGTTTCATGGGACGAAGCGAGTAGTTCATTCTCTTATAAAAGATGTCCATTAGTTTGTATTTATTTATTTTTAACAATGTTTAATGTTGTCTCTAGTTCAGCAGGTAGCGGACCAGCCTCAAAGCCCACTTTTAGGATTGTCCCATTTTCAAAATGATCTCATAATACACCATAAAAACCAGTGAGCACTGGGAAATATCATGTTTTCATCAGTCCCTCAAACCTCACTCTCTCCGTGCTGTAGGATACCCTGATGTGAAGAACTTCTCCTGGGAGAAATACTTGGCAGAGACCAGCTCATTACCAGCTCCTGCTCGAGCCTTCAAAGTGGTGAGTGCATGTGCTTCTTGCCAAACATCTGCAGGTCCTCTGAGAGACCCGAGGTGCCTGAACAAGCCTCTCTCGGCCTCTCTCGGCCTCTCTCTGCAGAAACCTCCTCACAGTTTCCAGCTCAATATGAAGTTGGAGGTGGTCGACAAGAGGAATCCTGCTCTGATCCGAGTGGCCACAGTGGTTGATACAGACGACCATCGACTGCGGGTGAGAAACGATATTTTGCACACATAATGCTGGCTCAGCGTGAATTTCCATGTTGCTCCAGACCGGTCAGCTGGTTGACCTTGTTTTAAAAGCCTGATGTATGAAATAATAGTCAAAAAAAAATAGAACAGTTTATTGAACCTGTAGACAAAACATTAAGAAAAAATGTGTTTTATGTTGTTATAGGCCTATCTAGGGTGGCCACTTGGTTATTTCTCTGTTGCAAGACAGTAGGATAAATTTAAAAACATGCTTTAAATCATCAATAAGCTTTGTTGATGGTGACCAGCTCTGTGACTGGCACTCAGTTTGCACAGGTTCGATTGATGCAATGTAATTCACTCTAAAGGACCTATTCAGTCTACTCAGTATACTAAACTGAGTAACAGGCAGTGTAATGTATTTGAGTAAATGTAATTAGTTACTGTAAGAATCTTCTCGGTTACTTTGCAGTTTGACTGGTTATCAAAGATATCAGCAACTTTTACTCTCTACTTGATAGCATTTTTGAGTAAGTGCATGTACTCTTTACTCCAATACTTTTGTGATGATTAATGCAGCTTTTTAGCATGGCACCGAACTTTTTCTGTGGCAGTTTATTTCTGCTACAAAGGAAGTGATATCGCCATCTACAGGTTATTGAAGATACGATGTCTTGTGCGTTTTGCCCTTACTCACCCAAACTTGTCAACACGGCTGCTTTACATGAATGTGAGTGCATTAGCAGCTAGTTATGAATCGCAGGCGTTTCATTTATGAGATGAGGACATGGCTGAGACCTTCTTGAAGGATACTGCTTTACTTATGCTCTTTTTGAGCTAAACTCAGACTTCGGTGTTTGTAGACGTTTAAGAGGCTGTTGTGTCGACCTTCATTTATTGCAATTTTGAGGTGTTCGGTTTTATTTTGATTTTAGAAAATAAACATGTGTTTGCTCTCCTCACAAATCAGCTGTTTCTTGTTTTTCACTGGCTTTTCTCTTAGGTGTTGAGGACTAGTGCATCTTTGAGCCTTCATTTAGTGTGAGTGAAATATTGGAATTGGTAACTTGTAATGGAGTCTTTTTCAGTGTAAGGTATCTGTACTTTTACTCAAGTATGATTTTCAGGTACTTTTTACACCTCTGGTAACAGGCTAGTTAGTAAAAATCACATTTTATGCTAAAATAAATTTCCTTAAGTAGTGACTATGTTCCTTTATTAGACTATGCAAACATTAAATGCATTTTACTGGATTCAGTGCTTCTTGAACTTGTATTTTTTTATTGGATCTGGCAGCTTCGATCAGGATGTTCTTATCCAGTATGTGTCTAGCTGAAGTCCTGGCTGGTGTAGCTGTATTTAAAGACTTTTGATGAGGTCCACACTGAATCCTTTGCTCCGTCCAGTCGTCATCAGTGGAAAAAAATCCTCTCTGTGAATGCGTTGGTTGGTTATTTTCCCCACTCTTGCTACAACATGACGGCTGTGCAAATGGATTTTTAAATGACAATCACATTTTTTTTTATGATATTTCTTATTGTGGATTGTAAATTAAAGGAAGAAAGAAAATAATACAGACATAATTGAAATGCAGGACACTGCTTACATATTGCAGGATGCGGGACAAAGCTCCCAATTTCGGGACCGTCCCGCATTTGCACATCAGGCTTTTATGACTCATATAGTATGATATGGTGAAAATATGGAGCTCATTTTAAAAGACATTTTGATTTTATTCATCATTGCTTCACATGCATTAAACATCTCACACACATTTTTTACAAAATGTGTCCTATATAGAGACGGAGTATGATCTGCTTCTTGCTTATGTATTCATGAAATCCACTTTGGATCAAAGCATTTCATCACTGATTTCTGTTATCACTTTAATTGTCAGTGAACATCCAGTGATGCAGTGCTGATTCAGCTGACGGTGATCCCATGACAGCATCTGATCTCTCAGCCGTCTGTTTGGGAGTTTAGAAGCGATCAGAATGACTCATCTGTGCTTCCCTTCGTGTGGGCTGCAGGAAAGCTCTGCTCCATATAGAAATCTTATTTGGAACATGATCTGTCAGTCCTCCAGCTGATTAACGTCTACTCTTCATGCACATGGATGCGTGTAATGTGTGGAGTTTGTACCAAAGCCATTCTAATGCAGATTCTTGTGGTTGTAAATTTTCTGTCATCACTCCTTTGCTTTCAAAAGCAGTGCTGAAAGTTTCAGTTCAGTGTATGCACTTAGCTCATGTTTCACATGTTTGATGTTAATTGTATTATATAAGCTTTATTGGATTATATATTTGAAACTGCAGTGTTTTCCAAAACGGAAAGACAGAGCAAGACTCAGTTTATATTAGAGATTGACAAGGCCAAGCATTCACAGCTGTTCACACTGAGTGAGCAGCAAAGCGACTTGAAGTCTTTCATTTTTAATGAGAGTTGGTGGTTTGAGGCAACATTAACGATTGTTGGCAATGCAACAACGTTGAGTCATGACCAATGTGCCGACCACCAGTGGGTATGTAGACATTACGCAGCAGTTGATTAGAATGACCTACTATCAACCAACAGGCCTCATTCCCAGATCTTGCACGAAGCAAAGTGAAAGGCGATTTTGGTCAGGGTATCCTTTAGTAATTTTTTAGTGCAATGTGCAGCAGTCTGCGTTCATGCCGTCTGGGGTGTCAAATGTATCGTAATCATTTGGCTGTAATTACACATGTTGGATCGAAGAGGGCAGCAGAATCCACACACATCATTTACACGGACCGAGAGAAATAACAGATGTCACTGTCTGTCTCACACTCATACGGAGAGCTGTCAGATCTCCCTCCTCTCTTGCTCACACTGTCTGTCTGCTCAGCCGTCATTCGTGATCCTCTACAGATGTCCTTCAGTCTCTCTCTTAAACACCCAATCAATGCTTGGTTTACACGTGTCCGTCTTGTTCATGTGTTTGAGCCGTATAGTGCACGACCTCCACCTCCAGTGCTGCTCTCTCTCATCACCTCTGTTCGCTAACATTCACGGGAGCTCAGTGCCATGCACTGGATGGATTTGTTGGATTCCCACACCGTTTTAAAATCCCCCATCAATATTTCCTGAAGCAGTTGTAATTGACTTGGAGGAAAAAGACCTTTATGTCCAGGTCTTTGATGGTTTTTTGCAACACACTCGACTATCCCACAGGACAAAAGGGTTTGATTTTTTTTGCCTGTTCGACTCAAACGTGTTTACAGGGTATCTGTGGAGTAGTTTATTTGGTAGTATTTTAAAAAATCTTAAACCCATGGCTTTATAAAAATTAGAAGTTGGCTTTATGAAAACCTTAAATTGCATAGAATGTAGCCTAATGACAATTGTTCCCTATCTGTTGGTTACTACAAGTTATGATGACATTAGGGGTTTTACTTGGGAGCACCAATCAACTCTTAGTTTAAGAGGGTTTAAAAGAAACGGCCAATGAGAATTGGCGAGTGGATTTTGCATGCCAAGCCACTCCCCCGTACATACGGATATTTAAGGCGGCGGCGTGCATCCACTCGTTCAGATTTTTGCTTTGGAGCTGAGTGGTTGTGTAAAGAGCAATCCACAAAACCATTTACCTTGGAGTAGAGAAGAGGGCTGTCCTTGGTTGGCATGACGGCGCAAACAGCGGTGTCTCTGCTTCAGCGATTCCCCTGGGCGCTTCAACTAAAAGAGCAGTTTCCTCTAAAAAGCAAATCACGGACGGTCTGTGTCTTTTCCAAAATGCCACTCTGTCCGTGTCCTCTTGGTTGTGGTTGGTTTTCTGAGGAAAGGAGGAGACCCCTCTGTCACTACCCGTCGTGGTTCTTCTGCACAGCACAGTGCTCTGGGAGATTTGAGGATTACAGTAGGAGCAAATCCGCCGTACCAGTCCCCACGGACCTCCTACTCCTCATGCAGCGCTTGTCCCGTACAGCTTCCGGATTATTCCACTGGCCCATCACATGGCGCTCCCAGCGTTTCATTCTGGGCTCCGCCAGAGGATCAGATGTCGATAGCAGCATCAGGGGATGGGCTATCGTTCTCTGAGGGTGAAGATTCGGCGGCCAACCCCTCACCAACCCAGAGTTGATGGCCATACTTGCCCGGGCAGCCATGAGCATTGGGTTGGAGGTGAACACACTGCCCAGCCCTGAGCGCTCGTGGCTGGACAGTTGGTTTCTCAGCACAGAGCGCAGCTCACAACCACGTTCTGCCCCGGATCCTTTCTTCCCAGAGGTGCATGAGGAGGTCACGAAGTCGTGGAAGGCCTCTTTTACGGCCAGAAGCCACTCGTCGATTTCCTCCGTCCTCACTACCCTCGATGGCGGGGCAGCCAGGGGGTACATTGACATTACCCTGGCAGAGAGAGCAGTTGTGGTGCATCTGTGCCCGCAAAATGCCGCCACCAGGAGGAATCATCCGCACCTCCCGTCCAAAGCCTGTAAGCCAACGTCAGCTCTTGCTGCCAAAGCTTACAGTGCTGCCGGCCAAGCCATGGTGATCCTGCAAGTTTACCAAGCCAAGGCACTCAAACAGATGCACAAGGGTGATACTGACCCGAGGTTGATGCAGGAGCTGCGCACGGCGGCATTCAGACTCGGCGGAGGAGTCTGATGCCAGGCCCAGTACTTGTGTTAGCATGCCTGGAGCTCCGGTCAGCCCCAGTACTGGGCTAGGTGTCCCATTTGTGTGATTCCCTACGGGTAATCCCATATGTGTATTCTTCCATGGTAGGGTTTCCCTCATGGTAAACCCGTGTCTTCCCCTGGGCAGATTCCGCTCTGTCCATCTCTGTTGGTAGTAGCTCCATCCCTATACTCCCAGGTAGGACCTACCTCAAAGACCTCCAGCAGCGATGCACTCACCATTGGCCCCTCTCGGTACCAAGGTCCATGAATTTGCGCTGGTGCATTGGGAAGGTTACGACTTATGCGTTTGCATTTGCCTTGACACGCCACGGCTTGTCAACATTTGCAGTGGAACAAGTTGTAACGGTGTTCAGTGTTA